GGGGTTGGGCGCGGCCCCCGCCGAGGCACGCCCGGTCTGCGGGGCGCGGACACCGGTGTCACCTCACTCCCCTCGCCGCGCCCGGCCCGCCCTGCCCGCTCCTCTGCCCGCTTCCTTCTGCTGGTACCGAAAAGAAATGGAGGAGCCGGTTTTGCTGCTGCTCTTCTCATTTTTTTGTCTTTCCCATGAGTTGAATTCTTTGTTTTCTGCTAAGAACTCATTATTCATCCTTTTAATATTTGTAAACTCACCTTGAAATGCTGGTGACCAGAATTGTCCTTTCCAATATTTTCTTTCATCTCTTTTTCCACAGCAATTACGCTGCCAGTGTCTGTGTCTAGACGTGCTGTACAAACAACGTGCCGGGCAGAGTTATCACATGGGCTTGGATTGCTCTCAGTGTGTGTTTGGTAGCACGGCTCTGCTTCTGCACACTTCTCCTGGGAAAAGCAGGAGAACTGTAAGCTGCCTGGTGGGCTTCTACAACACTGGCTCTTTGTCAGCAGAGGAAAAAAGTTTAAAAATATCTTTTAAAACATCACATCTTTAAGAGGAATGTAATTCCAACGAGACTGGCATGAACAGTTCAGGATTTTTAACTTCAAAGAAGGAATACGTTCTGTTTGCTCTTTGAGGTGTCTGCAAACTTATTTCAGAATTTAGGTGCAGATGGTGCGAGGAATCTTGGAGTGTAATAACTGAACTGGGACAGATTCTCAGCTGCAAACAAAACAAAATCCTATCATGCTATAAAAATAAACAAAGAATGGGAAACCTGGGAAGACGGGTGCGTGTGGAACGACACTTGCCATCGGTGCTCAGCCTTGCAGGAAGGAGCGGGGGGCAAAGTGGTGGAGCGGTTGCTGCCGTCGTGTTACCTGCGCCGGGGTGCTGCGTGCGGGGCTGGAGGTGGCAGCAGGGCGTGCGGCACCGGCGATGGGAAGGGGCCGGGGCACGCCGGCTCCCTCCACCCCCCAGCCACCGAGAAAATGAATTTTGCAGCTCGAGGGAGGGTTAGTGCCTCATTAACTCAGGAAAGGGGAAGCCTTGGCCAGGCAGGGAGAGAGGAGTTGGTGTGGTGGGCTTTGAATGAGCGGGACCGGCCCTTTTGCAGGGGGTGCCTGCTAAAGGCAGAAAGAAAAATTAAGACATATTTTGTTTTAAATGAAGAATGACTGGCATTCCCCCCCCCTTCCTGAAAACAAAGTAATTTAATTTATTAGTGGTTCATTTTCTTTGACAGCCTTGCTATGTACTTGATGCGGTTTGTTACACTGAATTACCCTTTAATAATGGGTGTATAGAATACCAGAGCCTGCGCTGCAGGTTGGCTCTGTAACTGGGGAAGGGCTGCACCGGGGAGCTCTCTGTGCTGTGGGGGATTGCCGTGGCGAGGCGGGGGGAGCGGGTGCTGCAGGCGGACACCGGCTTGGGCTCTGCGTGCTTCGGGGAAAAAGAAACCACCAGGTTTCAGTTGCTGTCACATTGCCCCATTTGCTGGGCTCTTTCTCTTCACCCCACGGAGGCGAGCGGGGTGAGGGCGGCGGGCGGCCCTTCCCTGCCCATGGTGCGCGTGTCGGCGAGGGCACGCGTCAGTGCCGGCACCGGGGCTGAG